CCCATTTATTAAACGGGTCTACCAAGTTCACCTATTTACCACTCATATTAATTAAAACTTCAGTCGAACTTCTCACTCTTAAATTGGAGATTCCAGTCTTAGAGTATATATTGAAGTTCGGTAATTGACTGCTATGTTAATCTAAATTAAGTTCATTCTTAAGAAGAGTAATGGTCGTGATCGTTACTTCTCTCGTGATCTCACCGGTGAGTCTATCAGGGGTAGTATTTAGACGTTTTCCTCTGTCTCTGTCCTCTTTTTGTTCACAAGTCCAAAAAACTAAAAAAGGTATTTTTTAATTATAATTTAATATTAAAAAGTCAGCTGCATTGGCATATAGCCCCTATAGCTCAGTGGTAGAGCGCCAGTCTTGTAAACTGGAGGTCTGTAGTTCGATCCTGCATGGGGGCACCGCTAGTAGTTCTTTTTTTTTTTTTTTTTTTTGCGTGTTTTCAGTTCGGAGACTTTTGTGAGATCTTCCATTTCCCACAACGGATTGATGCCTGAGTTTCATTGGGACCGGGTAAGGATATCTGAGTGTGAGTTGCAACAATGCTTGGCCTCAGGTGGTCTTTCTTTTTGATCGTCTTAAAATTATGACTCAATGAGATTAAGTGAAATCAATTATAATATATTGGAACCGATGAATTCTAATTACCTGATTGAATTATAAGTTGAGCCAATTGTATCACAACTTTTGATTAAAAAAAAAAATCTTTTGGTTTTGGTAATATAATCATTCCCTGCATATAGCAGACCATTTTGTCCAATGNAAAAAAAAAAAAAACTTTTGGTTTTGGTAATATAATCATTCCCTGCATATAGCAGACCATTTTGTCCAATGCAAATTGGTATTATCCCTTATAAACTGGGACAGTGGTTGCCTCGGACTACCCAACTTTGTCCAAGCCAACTAGTTTGCAATATTGTCTGACTGATGATACAAAGGCAATCACTATGTTTCTTGCAAAGTTAAGAAACTATGAATTAAATAGTAAGGCTGACGACTATGGTATGGGCAGAGAGAGAGAGAGAGAATTGCAGAAGAGGATTGCTTGTGGTGAGGGAACTAGCACCCACCCATTTTCAAATATTATATTTGGCTATTTTTCTTTGTCCCCAGTCCCCCAGTCTACCATACAACACACACACACACACACACACACACATATATATAATTACATTCAGTCACCACACATATTATTATTACTACCCCATGAACAAGTTGTCAAGTTGAAGGCGTGCAAGGAGGAACAGAAGATATTTATTTATATATTTGTTTTCTATTACGTGAGACATGTATAGATTTATTTTCAATCTCCCAAGATTATAATACTCATTTTGACAGATATCAGAATATATATACATATAATTTGATGTTCACTTGAAGGGTTTGAGTTTTCTAATTTGAAAAAAGGATTATAAGTTGAGATTAACACTTTCATATACTAATCTAAACATATCAACGGCTTTTTATTTCAACATCAAACAAATAGAAGTTTCATTCCGAGTTTTCTATACATAATTATGNCTTGAAGGGTTTGAGTTTTCTAATTTGAAAAAAGGATTATAAGTTGAGATTAGCCCTATATAGACACTTTCATATACTAATCTAAACATATCAACGGCTTTTTATTTCAACATCAAACAAATAGAAGTTTCATTCCGAGTTTTCTATACATAATTATGTTTGACTCGAGCTTCTCCCTTCTTTTTTTTTCCCCGAGTCATACAAACAAAAATATGAATTTATACAAGAGGGAAAAAATGTTGTGAAATGATGATTATATCCAATTTAGACTGTGTTTCTTTCTTATTAATCTCTTTCCTATGCTATACCAGTCAAGAGTAATTGCTTATTGAACCTTAAATCATATATTCTATGGTACCAATTTTTGTTTATTATGTCACACAAACATGGTCACAGTGTGGATAATCCTTTTGGTAAAAGTCATCTCTGCAAATGAGGTGACGACGGAGATAAAAGAAATAAAGAAAACAAAGAGCCATGCGCGGATTGGTGGTGTAAACGGTGGCCACAACCATCAACCACCACTTTATGAACAATATCTCTAAAATGCTTCTGCTATGCCAGAACATGACTCAAGTTGCCAACTTGTAAGTTGTGACCCCAAAAATTGATATCTTTTTCTCTCTCTTTAGAGAGAGAGAGAGAGAGAGAGAGAGAGAACTACGTAAGTAAGTAAAGAAGCTATGGGTGGGTCTCTGGCTTTATTTTTATGGTTGGAAATTGGAATGGCGNACGAACTACGTAAGTAAGTAAAGAAGCTTTGGGTGGGTCTCTGGCTTTATTTTTATGGTTGGAAATTGGAATGGCGTTGAAATGGTCCTGTGCAGCTTTCTTTTTGTAAGGTATCCTAGAACAGCCAACACTGTTCCATATCTTAATAGTGACAATCCAGTTTCTATGTCTATCCGACAGGCTCCAGATCTTCTNGAGAGAGAGAACTACGTAAGTAAGTAAAGAAGCTATGGGTGGGTCTCTGGCTTTATTTTTATGGTTGGAAATTGGAATGGCGTTGAAATGGTCCTGTGCAGCTTTCTTTTTGTAAGGTATCCTAGAACAGCCAACACTGTTCCATATCTTAATAGTGACAATCCAGTTTCTATGTCTATCCGACAGGCTCCAGATCTTCTCTCTCTCTCTCTCTCTCTCTCTCTCACCAAAGCAAGAAACCAAATGGCCTCCAGTTCATGCAACTGTGTCAAAAACTTTTTTCCCGGGGGATTTCAAGACCACTTGCATTTGGAAATACTGCTGTGTGTGAATCGAATGGAGGAGCTTCTTTTAAGTTCATAACAACATTTGGGAAATTATTATTTTGTACTTAATTTGAAGACCTAATTAATTATAATTATTGTATTGCAAGTGAACTCTGTCTAACATTATCGTTCACACCTAATTTAATAGTTTCACTGCATGATTTAGTCCCCAAACTACGTCCTTATGTTACTCATAACTAATAATTTTGTGGAATGAACAACTTTATAGGAAAATTGACAAACGTTATGTGGCCATTTAATTAAAAAATTAAAAAGTAAGTATCCACCTAAGCAAAAGTGATATTTGATAAAGGATTTACTTAACATAATCTACTTAGGTGATGGACTGGTCTCCATTATGATTATACTACTACTACTCTTGAAAGTTTTATAGACTAGCATTAAAAATGAAGACACACAAATGATTTGTTCTGATTATAATTAATCAATGGGGGCAAATCCAAGTCTCACACGAATATTTTTTTTTTTCTCAATTTTCTTAATCATAAATATATCTTTATGTGAAGTCACCATTAAGTGAGTGTTTTACAAATAGAGTCGGTGAGTGGANACGAATATTTTTTTTTTTTCTCAATTTTTTTAATCATAAATATATCTTTATGTGAAGTCACCATTAAGTGAGTGTTTTACAAATAGAGTCGGTGAGTGGACTATCATTTAGAGAAATTGAAGAAAAGTATACAGGAAGAGATCCGAATCAATGACGACTAAGCTAAATTGGCCAGCTCTAAATATTATGTAATCTAGATCTGTCACATTTTGAATTAAAAAGACAATTTAGTTTACAAAACTTCATCGGTCTTTCGGGTACTCAAACAACCCAAGTTTGGTTGTTAATTTCCAGGTATATATAAGTAAAGCCCCTTTGATGGGTAGTCTATTGGCTGGATACATAGACTTAATCAAACTGGCCAGAGACGGCAATAACGTTGGTCAATTGTTGGTAAGTGTATGGCTGTCCACAGTAGTTCTATGATCGAAAGCCAGCTCAGTCCTATAGATGTAATCGAAGAATTAATTAAAAATATATAGAGACTCTGGTATGAAATAAATGTCTATGAATTCCTAATGAAGGTGGTTCTAAATATAATAATCTAAAGAATGACACATAAACTCCTATGAAAGAAGAAAAATTAAGGGGCTAAAAGTAAGAGGCTTATTGAGCACTATATTTAACTTTACTTTTAGCCACTCAATGTTTCTTTTTCAACTAATGCATTAATTATAATTTGTTTTAATGCAGTTCCCAAAGCATGCTTCCAAAACCATTGCTAATGCACACNGGGGGCTAAAAGTAAGAGGCTTATTGAGCACTATATTTAACTTTACTTTTAGCCACTCAATGTTTCTTTTTCAACTAATGCATTAGTTTTAATTTGTTTTAATGCAGTTCCCAAAGCATGCTTCCAAAACCATTGCTAATGCACACTGATAATAGTGGTGTGGGTTTTGGAAGCTAGCAACTTGGGGAGAGAGAGAGAGAGAGAGAGAGAGGGGGACCCTTAATTGCAGCAAAAGATTAATTATGAATAACCATATAAGATTAGTGGTCACATTCATCAATAATCATTGACAACTTTCACATGGAAAACTATCATGTAAGAACGGAAGAAATCATTAGAGATGATCAAGGACATTGGATCATTAGATTTTATGGAAGTCTGAATGATTCCACAAGCCTCCAAGCAGAACTTTGGGCAATCCTGAGAGGGTTGGAACTCATCCAAAGGAAAGAAATCAGTAATGTGATTGTGGAGACCGACTCCTTGGAAGCAGAAAGACTCTCACACTTAAAATATTGATCGATTACATTATGCAGCAACAATGACATGATATAACCAATATATTGAATATTTGCACGTAATTTAGAACAATTCTCCATTACGAGAGTTTTAAAAAAATCATCCACCAAGCATTCAAACAGTTGCAAAATCATCGAACTATTTTAGAATCAAAACCAATTAATACACAAACCAGCAANGCACGTAATTTAGAACAATTCTCCATTATGAGAGTTTTAAAAAAATCATCCACCAAGCATTCAAACTGTTGCAAAATCATCGAACTATTTTAGAATCAAAACCAATTAATACACAAACCAGCAAGTAAATGGTAGTTAAACCAAATCCAACAGTGTACTTACTACAAATGAGAAACTTATATTTTGCAGTGAATTTTGACTTTATTTTTTTATTCTATGAATTCCATTTCAGAAGATCAACAGTCTCAGGACTGTTGAGACTTGAAATCACCACCTGCCGCACCTTAATCTCTCCATCAAAGCTTCCACTAAACACCTTAATAGCACCACCACCACCCCCCGATACACCACCGTCTGCCACTGCCACCGCTACCAACGACTTAACCGGCTTCAAATGACCATCTAGCACCGTCAGGCAACAGTACCGTCCGTCATGTCCCCGTTGCCAGACCCTCACCGTCCGATCAGCTGACCCACTGAACAACAAATCAGAGAAGTTGATTAGACACAGTATTGCCTTGGAGTGGCCTCTCAGTGCACCGGTGACCACCATGTGATTGGCACTGTCCTCTCTCTCCCATACCAAGATCGACCGGTCACACGCGCCGGAAAACAACACCGACCCATCGGAGTTCAGTGCCAGCGCATTCACCGCGGACTTGTGCTTCTCTAATGTCGCGATCAATGCATACCTTCCCTCTCCCTCCGGTCGTGTCCAGACTTTGATCCGGCGATCGGCTGACCCAGTATAAATAGTCCCGTCGACGGACACGACAACGGCGCTTATCGCATCATCATGGGCTTTTATTGACTCTATACATCGATAGTCCGATGTTCTCCAAACCTTTAAATACTTATCCCACGAAACAGAACACATCAAACCCTTGTTAACTGCTAATCCTGATACAGCATCGTTGTGTTCGATCCATAACCGTTTCTTGTGACGCCGGACTTTGACGTAGTTTTTGGGTAAGATGGAACGGCGCAACCGATCCTTGACGGTGGGTAGTACAGCGACGAGCTTGTGCTGTTTATTAGGTTTTAATTGCCACACTCTGATTTTACAGTCTTGATGTGCAGTGAAAACTTTTCCTTTACAAAAATTCACAGATTTGACCGAACCAGAGGAAGAATCCTTGCTGTTGAAGGTATCAAGATGCGTGTAATCGGTGACATCGAAAACTTTAATTTCATTACCAAAGGCGGCGTAGAGGAGGTTGCCATGGACGGCGAGAAAGTGGACATGGGCGGAGCAGGGTTTGAGGGAGGTGAGAGAGAAGGTGGTGACGGAGAGGTTTATGGTTTCAGGAGAGAGCTTTTGGAGGGAAGGTACAGACGGTAGTGTTTGAAGAGAGAGGTTGCTTTGGAGGCTGCTGTAGTTTGTGTCTTGTGAGGTGGATGATGAGCTGCCTGGTGAGTCGGAGGAGCTGCTGGTGTCGGAGAGAAGAAATTTTGGTGAGATTGTTGGAGTTTCTGGTGGTGGTGTTGTGGTGTCATCGCTGGTGGAGAAACAGACGGCGGAGGAGCATGTTAAGAGCCAAGATCGGAGTCTCATGGTGCCGGCTAAAAGAGAGAGAGAGAGAGAGGAGCAGACAATGCAGGTCCTGCCAAGGGAGAAAGGAGGGGGAAGAAGAGGGAATAGTTTTATAGAGTCTTTGCAGTGTGGGAGGATGGAAACAAAAATATTATTTAAATTTAATTTATTATTATTTTGACAATTAATATTACTCCTTAATTAGCTTTATAAATTAGATTATACTAGCTTTATTTTGACTGTAAAATATAGAAGAAAAACCAAAAGTTTATAAAATTAAAAGAAGTAAAAGTTAACAGTCTATCTAGTAAAATGAAAGAAAATGGAAAAAATATATATTTTTCATCAATCTTCTTTTTTATTTTTTCACTGTTCTATCGTACCAAATTTCACAAAAAAGTACACGAGTTTAGAAATATTATTATATTTGAATGTAAAAAGAATTTCTTTATAGAATAGTTTAACAAAAAATCAAAATGGAAAAATTAAATATTTGTGGAGGAAATCTTTCCTAAGCTTTATATAGATAATATCGATAAAATATTTCCTTAAAAAAAATACCAAGTTGGAGGAAGGAAATAAAAAATAATTAGCTTTGGTTATTTGGGTCCGTTTGTTTTGGAGGGCGGAGGAGAAGATGTTGAAGCTGTCTACAACTCTTCGATGTCATCATCAATCAAGAGAAAAAAAAGGCAGTAGCTAGGCAACCATATTGAGCTACAAGTCAAGTTTATGTTTTTCTTGTCGACAAAACCTATGTCTAACTAATATAAAGTAATTAATGGTATATTTCCACTTTGAAATTTGACTTGGGCTTACATGCTTAATTAAAAATTAGAAAGAAAGCTGGTTTTGTCACTGCCTTGAGGTTAAGATTTGACCAAGAGTTTTAAGACTAGGAGAACTCTACTGTACCAATTTTTTTTTAAGGTTTTGCACCGTCTTTACAAATTTTGTGATTTATTTTTATAATTTTTGAGAGTCATTTATAAGTTTTTAAGAACTATTTATAATATTTGAAGATCATTTACAATTTTTTAGGTTATTTATGATTAATCTTAAAATTTTTAAGATCGAATTCAAATGACCCAAAAAAGTTATAACTTAAACCATAAAAATTGTAATATGACCTCATTTTTTTATTGTAAATAAATTTAAAAACTTATTTTTCAAACCACAAAACTTAAAAAATTTAGCCGTACACTACTATAATTGACTCCTTAAGATTATCCCTTTTTTGAATCTTATCTTTAGGAGTCCTGGGAGTATAAAAAGTTCCAGCACTTCAGTGAGCTGGGTTCAGATGGTTCATTTATATTTTGTAAAAACCAAAAAGACTTATCACCTACAACACAACGTTGTGCTCTTGTTTTTAGATTAATATCCGTCATGAAAAGTTTGAATTTTGGAACTTTTCTGTGTAATGTCTTAAAGTTGATGGGCTAAACGCAAAGAGAACAATGGGATTTCGGGGCATGTAAATGGTATCAGACTATTGACTCTCTTGCTGCATAGATCACGTAGTGTGGGTAGGATAATATTATACAATGCGAATATGCTGCGATACATTTTTTTGTTCGTTTCGAAGGGAATTATGAGCGGAAGGTTAACTTAAAGGAGAGAGCAAGTTTTTAAGAAACAATACTTAGCAAAGATTGTGGCTCATACCAAGAATCACGATGCAAAAGGATAGAAGGAATCTGTATGAGAAAACAAAAACTGTAATGGAAAAGAGACAGAGAACCCATAATTCCTTCAAGTCAATATAATTGATGCTCCATATGATGATGCTACTAGATATGTAGTTACTTTGCAGATTCATAGCTACCCATATGGGGTTGGGGNAGAAAAATTAAATATTTGTGGAGGAAATCTTTCCTAAGCTTTATATAATAATATCGATAAAATATTTCCTTAAAAAAATTACCAAGTTGGAGGAAGGAAATAAAAAATAATTAGCTTTGGTTATTTGGGTCCGTTTGTTTTGGAGGGCGGAGGAGAAGATGTTGAAGCTGTCTACAACTCTTCGATGTTATCATCAATCAAGAGAAAAAAAAGGCAGTAGCTAGGCAACCATATTGAGCTACAAGTCAAGTTTATGTTTTTCTTGTCGACAAAACCTATGTCTAACTAATATAAAGTAATTAATGGTATATTTCCACTTTGAAATTTGACTTGGGCTTACATGCTTAATTAAAAATTAGAAAGAAAGCTGGTTTTGTCACTGCCTTGAGGTTAAGATTTGACCAAGAGTTTTAAGACTAGGAGAACTCTACTGTACCAATTTTTTTTTAAGGTTTTGCACCGTCTTTACAAATTTTGTGATTTATTTTTATAATTTTTGAGAGTCATTTATAAGTTTTTAAGAACTATTTATAATATTTGAAGATCATTTACAATTTTTTAGGTTATTTATGATCAATCTTAAAATTTTTAAGATCGAATTCAAATGACCCAAAAAAGTTATAACTTAAACCATAAAAATTGTAATATGACCTCATTTTTTTATTGTAAATAAATTTAAAAACTTATATTTCAANTCTAAAATTTAAATATTTATGAAGGATAAATCTTTTATGTCTTGAGCTCAAGGACTGACAAAAATTTAAATTTATGACGTCTGAATTTACAGTNATTTCAAACCACAAAACTTAAAAAATTTAGCCGTACACTACTGTAATTGACTCCTTAAGATTATCCCTTTTTTGAATCTTATCTTTAGGACATGATCTATAAAAAGTTCCAGCACTTCAGTGAGCTGGGTTCAGATGGTTTCATTTATATTTTGTAAAAACCAAAAAGACTTATCACCTACAACACAACGTTGTGCTCTTGTTTTTAGATTAATATCCGTCATGAAAAGTTTGAATTTTGGAACTTTTCTGTGTAATGTCTTAAAGTTGATGGGCTAAACGCAAAGAGAACAATGGGATTTCGGGGCATGTAAATGGTATCAGACTATTGACTCTCTTGCTGCATAGATCACGTAGTGTGGGTAGNTTTTTCATTAAACAAATTTTGGTATTGTAGAGTTTTATGTCGATGAAATCTCTGGTTTGGTTGGTCATGGTAAATAGCCATAGCCGTCTTGGAGCATTAGAATAATAAACAAGCAAGTATTGATCAAATGAATGAATACAAAAGAGAATTGAAAAATTCTATAGCAACATCAAGAAAAATATTTCGCCATTAATAGATAACCATNAAAACTGTAATGGAAAAGAGACAGAGAACCCATAATTCCTTCAAGTCAATATAATTGATGCTTCATATGATGATGCTACTAGATATGTAGTTACTTTGCAGATTCATAGCTACCCATATGGGGTTGGGGGACTGATTTTATGCAGGAGAATTCTACGGCACCGAAAACCGACATATAAAACTTTTTAGTTGTCATTTATAACTTTTTGATGTGTTTAAGATTAATTTTTTTAAATATTATAATCCATTTTAAAATTCAAAAAGATTGTAATGGACTTCAAAAGTGTGTAACTTGACCCTAAAATTGAATCTTTTCAACATCGATCATAAATTGTTAAGATCGATCCTCTTTTTTAGTTGTAGATTGACCCTAAAAAATTATACTTAAAACCATAAATAAATGTAGTAAACTTTGTACCGTATTGCCTTCGATTCATATCCTTTTATGCATGATCGGGATCTACTAGGTTTAAAGCATGAGTTATGCTTAATTTTTTTTTGATTCAATGGTGAGAGGTGTTTAAGCCAACTTAAGCATATCTTGACTAATTCTCTCGCTTCCCCAGTCCAATCAAAGACGCTAAAATTTA